GGGGGGGGGGGGGGGGTGATACTATACGATTTCCCTTCTGTTTACTATGTTTTACATTAAAATAACCCTTCACTTTATAGAACACATAAAAATGGACGATATAGATCCAAAATGGCTGACACTGTTACAAAATAGTGGGTGATGTGGTGGTCAGAGCAATGGTCATCTACAAGTTCCCTACACAAGATGCTTCTAAGTACCTTCACAGGTGCATTTGACCCCCTTCAAGGTTGCATCAAGCTGATTTTGCATCATATGGAAAGAAAAGGAGCTCTGAAGCAAACAAACATCCATGTACCCAGACCCTAAATCGGTCATCAGACTTGAGAGGGAGGTTGTTCATGTAGCCTTAATCTAACTGCCCTAAAGGTTTTCTATACTCAACTGTACAGCCTTGTGTGTATGGAGTGAAGAGGAACAAACTGAGGGAGCAGGGAGACAAAGGTTGGCATATCAGGAATGCTTTTCTGGCCTGTCTGATTGATTCCTCTTATCTACATAGGGTCACTGAATCAGTCAACTGCCATTTCAGTAGAGAACACAACTGTTTAATGTGGCTCTGCAGCTCACTGCTTTTGGGGTAGGGGATGGGGGTCAGCCCAAGGGGTAGGCAGAAAAGGTAGCTTCCTTGGGCAATTCAGCCTGAAGGGGTGCAAAAAGGGCAGTGCCTGCAACTTATGCTGCTGAAATAGTTCACAACTCACGGGGGAAGGGGTGTTGAAGGACCTTTAAGGACCTTTTCCTAGTACTGGGTTGATCAGACAGGTTTAGGACCTTTGTCCAATTCCTGTTCTTCCTGACATGAGCAACGCAGAGAGCTAATTGCCTGCACCAACCCTCCCCCTTCTAAGCCATGCGTTCATAAGACACATCTCTACTCCATGTCTACACGCCCTCTTTGGAGTCATCTTAATATAAGCAGGAGAAGAAGAAGCCTGTAGTGTTGAAGCTGCAATCTATTACAGGCAAGTGACTAGAAGCTAGCCAATTGAAGTAAAACATGGAGGCTACACATGAACTGTTGTAAAGCATGGGCACGGGCGAGCTGGCACCCAAAAGCCACGGAGCAGAAACCGAGGTAGACTTGATCATTGTCACAACTGACATCTATAGACAATAGTGTGCGAGGAGCACATAGTTGAAAGTGGTAGGGGAGTGGCGTTAGGTCAAGTAAATGTGCACTCACCCTTTAAAAATGGAGGTATTTGATCACTGATATACAAAAATGACTTCAAATTAAATAAAATGAACACAACTTAAAAGCTATACTTCAAAAGGTGAACAAACTCTTGATGTACCCCCTATGAATTCTGGGAAGGTTTTTTGTTACTGTGGGTAATAACACAGTGTATGCATCACATCTTCACAATCGTGTCAAAATGTTTTGCTTGAAGCTGCACCAAAATAAGGAATTTCTGGGACGAGCTGAGGGTCGGCACCAGCTTTGTACACCAAAGGACATTGCTCACATTTCATAATATCATTTATTATGTAACTTATATTATGTAATTTATTACCTACAGAGAGCTCAAATAGACTGCAGAATAATTTGATGATCCAGTGTAAAAAGATTCTCAACTGAAGACTAATTTTAGCTTTGTGACCATGTTTCATGTTACACACACATTTAGGGTATAATATAACGCATGGTCACATTCCCGAGCTCCCCACCTTCAAACCACCCCCCACGTACTTGAATGGTGGGGCTCTTTTTCCCACAGCTACCTGTACTTCTGTGAATGAAGAAACTAGAAGTTCCATCTGCCACAGGGGTAGAGGGACTGGTAAATCTCAATGGAGCAGCACTGCTGTGATCAATGTGCATGGAGGGGGTATCGTCTTAAAGTAATCTCTAGCCAAAATACTCAAGCCTGATACTTCAGTGTTGAACTGGCACTGGTGGGCTTCTGGCTGTGAAAAAGTCAAACTCTGGGCATGATGATTTCACTAAGCCTGGATATTGTGAATAGCCAATTGGAGACGGGGGTCAGAGACAGGCCCAGTGGGGGTGTACATGAGAACCCTGGGCTAAATGTATTATTACGGAATGCACATTAATGAAAGCCTGCTGGTATCTGCTATATAACAACATCTAAATTTGGAGAAAATATCGTTCCCAGGGATGGGCTTTTAATACAGATCATGTCACTGTAACTCCAGCCCCCCAAAACCATAACAAATGTGGTCCCACCAATTCTTTTTTTGTTTTACATTAAAGGAGAACTATGAGGTGAGCGCTTTTCACTCACCTCATAGTTCTAGCCGACCTGTGACAATGAGACTGTCACAGGTCGGCTCAGTAGATCGGGAGGTGAGCGAACACATACCGGCGTTCGCTCACCTCTCGATCCTGTCACGGCTCTCTGCCGTGACAGGGGGAGGGGCTGGATTCCCCTCTCCCCGCTCCGATCAGCCAGCGCTGACTCGCGGAACGGACGGGGGAGGGGGCGGGTACAGCTGGCTCTGCCTCTAGATAGGCAGAGCCAGCTGTCACTCACGCAGCTGGGCGGATCCCTTTGTCTAAGACGGGATCCGCTCCAGCTGCGACGTCTCAGTATACCGTGAGCTGTAGCTCGCGGTATACTGAGATTAGGGTAACGGGAGGACGCTAGTTTGTGTCCTCCCGTTACCCTAAGGAGAACTATGGGGAAAAACACTGACCCCATAGCTCTCCTTTAGGAGAAGCCATTAAAGGTGCAAAAGTCTGGTAAGGATATCCCAACAATGGAGTCGCGGGAGACTTCAGAAGCCAGCCTCCGATACAACCTTCCAACATCTATTCAAAACACAAATATCAGCTTTGAGTAGAGTTGACCCCCAAACATGTGATTCCCCCTAATGTCCACAGACCTTTCTTATATTATTTAGCTTTCTCCACTTTGCGACTGTTCCGGTTGTTGACAAGGTACATTAATAATAACAGACTAACTATAATGTTAAAGAGGCCAAACGACGGGACTCCATAGTGCTTGTATAGATATCCTGCAATGGTGGGGCCGATGGTCCGTGTAAGAGGTTGGATTGAAGCGCAGATCCCAAGCATGGCACCTGGAAGACAGAAACATAGTTTTGTGGAACATTTGGAGCTTTTTTCTAATAACAATTGGGGTTCAGGGAGAAAACCCTGGAACTCTGGGTAATGTGGCTTACCATCTTCTGATGTCAATGGTCTAATATACTCCTCTATAAGCCTTAGTCCATTCACATTTTTGGGGGGTTTGGATAAAGTAGAGAAAAAAATATTGTCTATGACCCAATTTTGGAAATTCTGCCTCACTTCCTCTACCTGAGACATGCATACAACAGATGGAGGGTGTAGTTGTCATGGGCAGGCCAGGAAGGCTTCACATGGAGTGAGTATTGGGTATTTCCTTTGGCTCTGAACATAATGACAGAGGTGTAAAGGAAAGGTAAGATTTGCTGCATGAATGGGCAAAGCTCAGGCTTGCTTTAAGTTACCTTACCTTTCATAGTTCATGATAAGCCGTAGCATGTATTCTACAAAATTCACTTCATACAATGGTTCCACACAATACCCTTTTCATTGCCTTGAGGTACTCAGGCTATTGGATCTGATTTCCCAGCCTGCTGTATAGGAAGACGGAGAATGTGAAACACCTACCAGAAGTAATTTAAAACTTAAGTGGAATGGCTCAATACATGTTTTAAGCTTGTTTGGCCTGGTGTCAGGTAATTAAACCCACCCAGTAATTAGATCTTCTTATATCAGGCAGCAGGCGCATGCAATCAGTGAGCTATGAATGCTATGAGGGAAGCACAGTAACTATACCTAAATCATAATTGATGAGTTCTATATGATCCACTGTAGACAGATTTTCCCAGACCATCCAACAAGGTCAGTGGGTGCCTACTTCTGTACTACTGAATCCTGTGCTGTGTAACCTACGGCCTCTCTCTGCCTTTGTACCATGGACCGCATTAAATTTAGCAATAAATATATACAATGCACTAGAAAAGCTCATATCCACTCTCGGGCTTACACCTTCCAAAAGGCTATTCTGCCAAAGGGGAGTGTATATTACATGCACTGTACTGCTTTACATGTGCCAAATACTTTAAAACTGCCCATAGATGGATGGCATTTCGGCACATTATGGCTAAATTGGCCAAAATTTGAGCCTGTATTTGGTCTTGCAAGCACCATGGTATGGATTTAAAGGCTAAGTTCACCTTTTCCTAAAATGGCCCATGCAGATAAGGGACCCCACTAGGTTAAAATCCACGGTACAGTTTTTCAAAATATTGTGGATGTAATTGCCATACCTGACACTGAATATTTCTGCCTACTGCTGTTGCGTTGTCTCTAGTACTAGGTATTAGTTAACATTGTGTAAGAGAATAATTACCCGCCTTAAGCTGGCTATACACTGCTCACATGTTGGCAGAGTCCTGCTGACTCGGCTGAAATTCAGGCTGTGTGTTGCCTTGCTGGCACCACCCAGCTCAACAAAAGTCGATGATTTAATGATCTAAACCTTCTAGAAGGGTCCTTCCCTCCTGAGCCTTGCCCCAGCTGAAGGCCTATTCTTAAGTGAAATTTCCACGACCCTGCTGAAGGGTGTATCCTTAAGGAGCTGTGCAGGAAGATGGTTACCTGGAGAGGGCATCTTCAAAGATGTCTTCTGTGATTAGGTGTGTCTAGCTAGGTAGAAGCTGCTAAGCTGGATAATGAAGGTACCTGTGGCTGGTCACATAGGGTCAAGGGCAAATAATTGATGTCAGCAAGAGGGACATCCATTGTCCTTCAATAAAAGTCTGCGCCTGCTCTTACAGAGTCATAGATCTCATTAGTGAATGCTGTCATGAGTCAATGCAATTTACTTGGCTACTCTTAAAGTGACATTAAAGGACATTTTCCCCCTCCCCCCAATGTTACTGTAAGGACTTACCTTAAAATGCCTCTTAATCCAATCATCTTCTTCTTTAGTGTAGTTTTCAGCCTTCTCTCCAGCGCTGGGTGCAGGTCTCCGATCCAGCGCTGACCCCTCTGTACTCCTCTTCTCTGATGTCCCACGTAGTCTGTGCGGGGGCACTTTCCTCCATATACTTACCTTGTGTCTCTCCTCGTCTCCCACCGAACATCAGAACTGCGCATGCACCCGCCCCAAGATCCTTTGCGGCCGCTCGAGGCTCTTCAGATGTTCGGACGGGAGCGCACGGTGAAGACGCAGGTAAGTTTAAACATGTTTGAAAAGGGTTTTTTTGTAAGCTTTTGCCTATATCTACTGCTTGCTAGCCGTAGATATATGCAAAAACACGCTGAGGGTTTAATAACCCTTTAAATGGCCAACACCATTACCTGCTATGAGAAAACCTGAGCTATCTTGTTCTTTTTGGGTATCTGTACCCCTATCCATACCTCCGAAGAGTTCATTTAGCAAAGAGAACCATAAAAGGACTAAAGTGACTGGCGCCCAACTTGCAGCCAACTTTCTTTCTACCCCACTACAAGTGAAGTATTCCACCCTGAGAGTGAAAGGCTAGCCAGCCGCACCATCTTTAGGGTCATCATGAACCACCCAGATAGCAGAGTGCTTGAAGTATAAAGTTGCCCATACACCTTACGATTATCGTGCGATAATCGTATGCGATCGACTTTTCGTACGACAATCGTAACATGTGAATAGAGTGCCCGACCGATAGTACTGTACAAACGTACCACTTTTGACGGTCAAGCATGTTTGAAAACTTTGGTCGATCGTACGATGTTCGCACGGTTGGTGGCGTTTCCGTCCGTCAAAAGTCGTACGATTAACACTGCGCATGCGCAAACGAAAATAATTGCGGTCACTTACCGCAAGTCGCCCAGGTGTTTTTTTTTAACTACCGCTGATTGAACCTTTCGATAATAGGGGCAGGATGGGGCCGTCCTACGAAAACCATACGACGGTTCGATCATCGGACGAAAAGTTTTGTCCGATAATCGTAAGGTGTATGGGCAGCTTTACGATCATTGTGTCTTCATAGAGTGATTGATAGTTAATCACAAATCTGCAGCCACCTTGTTCTAGATGTTGCATGTCAGGAACAACATTTTAGGTGGTGGTGTACATACCGGTTTCAGATGGAGGGACGGCTTTGGTTAAGATGCTGTCAGTGATGACTCCGGAGACGCAGAGGAAGAAAATCATCGGAAGGGCGATGATGCAGAAATGGATAACCCCCGTCATCACCACCTGGATAAAAAAAGGGACATTAAATCTGAACTCGAGGCAGATATAAAACACACAAATGATTGCAGCTCTATATTCTGTTTTACATCACTCAATGTATTTTTTAAAATGCAAGCAATGGAAGTGCCTAAATGAGACCCAAGGTTGCTGCCAAACCAGCTGCTGACAAGCCAGAAGCTTTCCCATCACACCTCAATATAACTTTCAAGCTGCAGAGATTGTAGTCCACATACAAGATTTCTCTCACCAAGCCCTGATGAAGGGGATGTATTTGGCCCCTTCGATAAGTAGCGTTGGCTACTCTACTTGTTTGTCCCCTGACCCCAGTGGAAAAAATATGTATCTGGACTATTTTAATTAGTGTGACGCTTCAATTCCTACAGCTACAGGCCAGGGGCAGGTCCAGGATGATCAGGACTCAGAGGAAGTGGGTTAAATGATGCTGACCATCAGACTGGGGACATCTAGTGGCAAAAAAAAACACTGCAGTAGAAATATCTAGATTAAATGGATATTGCAGCAAAAGATGGTTTTGTTATTTTATCTTTTATTGGACTGTTCATCTTTATCTTGTTGTTTTTGCCTGGAATTTAAAAAGCTAGATCTACAACAAAAAAAAAAAAAAACACTTGGAGGGTGATGAATTAAAAAGAATCAAGCCGCTCATCACCTTCCAATGTTAATGTTTCATTTTTAATTTGTTGTTTACCATTGCTAGCTTTTAGCTCTGAGGAAAGGAGTCAAACCCTGAAACGCGTTGGTTATGTTCTGAACATGTCTGCAAATTAAGATTAAGATTCAAGTAAAATTTTAGTAAAATAAGATTTTAGATGGTTTGGAAGTTCTTGACTGCGCTCTTTAAGCTATGTTACAGCCATCACAGGTTTTTAAGCTGTCTACATTCCCATGGGTGAGAGTCTCTGTCTCTGGAAAACAGAAAGGGATGGGAAATGCAATGTTACAGTTATCACAGAAACAGGAAATGAGAGGAAATCTTCTAATGGGGACACCTGGCCAAGGTGGGGATTTCCTTCACTTTATAGAGATTTCCTTTCACTCCCTGTTGTGTCACTGGGATATGACATTAACATTCCTACTGGAGCGCAAGCTTCAGACTTACCACTGAAAATAGGCCTGGCTGGCCCAGATCACCTCAGTATGCCTAATGGAAATCAAGGCCAGTTGTGCTGCATACAATCAGGCAGAGGCACCAGCAGCTCTCTAATCAAGCATATAAGGCAGCTGCTCGCTGGAGCCACACGGGTTCCCAGTGAGGAGCGAGCAGTGGTCTAATTAGAGAGTCGCCTCTGCTGCTTCCCATGCAACTAGGGTTGCCACCTTTTCGGGATTCACCCAGACAGTCCAGGTTTTGAGTCCTGTATGTGCTGTGTCCAGGTTTCAAGCTCGCTAAAAACCCGGACACAAAATGTTACATGTCAGGCGGATATCCCCCTGGTTGTCTCTCTCCTCTCTCTCTCTCTCTGTGTTGGCTGTTTCTCCTCTCTCTCCAGGCTGTCTCTGCTCTCTCTCTCTGCTGGCTGTCTCTCCTCGCTCTCTCTCCTGGCTGTTTCTCTTCTCTCTCTCTCCCCTGGCTGTCTCTCCTCTCTATCTCTCCTGGCTGTCTCTCCTCTCTCTCTCTCCTCGCTGTCTCTCCTCTCTCTTTCTCCCCTCTCTCTCTCCTGGCTGTCTCTCCTCTCTCTCTCTCCTGGCTGTCTCTCCTCTCTCTCTCTCCTGGCTGTCTCTGCTCTCTCTCTCTCGTGGCTGTCTCTCCTCTCTCTCCCCAGGCTGTCTCTCCCCTCTCTCCCCAGGCTGTATCTCCTCTCTCTCCCCAGGCAGTCTCTCCTCTATCTCCCCAGGCTGTCTCTCCTCTCTCTCTCTCCTGGCTGTTTCTCCTCTCTCTCCCAAGGCTGTCTCTCTACTCTCTCTCTCCGGGCTGTCTCTCCTCTATCTCCCAAGGCTGTCTCTCCTCTCTCTCTCTCTCCTGGCTGTTTCTCCTCTCTCTCTCTCTCCTGGCTGTCTCTCCTCTCTCTCCCAAGGCTGTCTCTCTCCTCTCTCTCTCTCCCAAGGCTGTCTCTCCTCTCTCTCCCCAGGCTGTCTCTCCTCGCTCTCTCTCCTGCTTGTCCCTCCTTACTCTCTCCTGTATATTCTCAAAATAATACATTGCCACATGGTGCTGGAGTGTTCGGGTTTCGCTTGAAGAAAAGGTGGCAACCCTACATCCGACCGACCGGCAACACCAGGCCCATGATACTCCCCTAATATGGCCTTGGATAGGAAAGGATGGAAACATTTCCCCAATGAATGACAGGCAGCAAAAAATACATTGACAGAGATTTTTTAACCCTTCCTTGATGAATCGAAAAAAAAACATATCCGTCAAGAGATATTTTAAATAAGTAAAACATAAAAGAAGTCTTTTGATGCATCTCTCGGCCTGGTCGCTTCTTTCAATTTTTCGCTACTTCTAATCACCGCATTAAAGGATGCTTCTAGAATAACAACAATTGCTGATTAAAACAACGTCCTATGTTTACACGAGGATTGTAATTCCTTACCCAATATTTGTCAGTACGATTATTGCTGGCTATAAATAAAGAATTTGTTACTACACGTTGTAGTTGTTGTAGGTTTATAATACGCTGTGTACACAGCCAGATTAATACAAGGCACTTACTGCGACAAAGGCATTGGAGAATGTCAAAAAGAAAAACTTTATTTGTTCAGTCTGCAGCACAAGCGGCGGATCTCTTTAGGATGGGCGGCTTGTTATTGCAGTTACGCTATTTGAACGCTGAAGCTTTTTAACATCAATAGGATTCCTCATTCCGGCCTTACAGCAACAATAAAGGATGTTGTTTCGGAGTGTGTTTTGTGGAAGTGCCGATGAAGAGTGCTATTTATTGCGTGTCGGTTATTGTGGTATTATTAGTAACCTTTAGAAACTGTACAAATAAACAAGCTCATTCTTCACAACAGGCGGCGATGGGTTAATCAGCACCTAACTGGAAAATATACCACCATATCAAAGTTGGCTTTGGTTGCCCATAGACTGGCAGTTGGACCAACCATCTCTCATCTAAGAGGATAGCACAGAGTATGTTGGCCAACAACTATCAGGGGGAATAGCAACTGGGCAGGTTAGAAAGAACAGGTACCATTGGCCACCAACCATCTGGGGCAATAGTGATTGGAAGGGTTAAAAAGCACCGGTACCATTGGCCACAAACCATCAGAGGGAATAGTGATTGGACAGGTTAGAAAGCACAGGTAACATTGGCCACCAACCATCGGGGGGAATAGTGATTGGATGGGTTAGAAAGCACAGGTACCATTGGCCGCCAGCCATCAGGCCATAGTGATTGGACGGGTTAGAAAGCACAGGTACCATTGGCCGCCAGCCATCAGGGCATAGTGATTGGACGGGTTAGAAAGCACAGGTACCATTGGCCACCAACCATCGGGGGAATAGGGGTTGGATGGGTTAGAAAGCACAGGTACCATTGGCCAACAACCATCGGGGGAATAGTTGTTGGATGGGTTAGAAAGCACAGGTACCATTGGCCAACAACCATCGTGGGAATAGTGATTGGACGGGTTAGGAAGCATTGTCCAATCACCATAAATTATAAGGAGGTGCCAGCCCTACACTACAGGCAAAACTTGCAAACTGGCAAAAGCTGGAAACTCTCTCAGATTTTTTTGTTATCCTGGTCTGTGTGCCCCCTGGGGAGATTTTTGCTATCACCATTGTCACCAAGAAAAAAAATAAAGGGAAATCACTAAATTTTACAGTTATCCTCAGAACAGGAAGTGAGAGGAAGTCTTTCAATGGGGGCAGCTGTCCCAGGGACAACTTTTGAGGGGATATGCCCTCACCTTAGGGAAACTTTCTCTCACTTCCTGTTGGGTCATTGGGACAGGAAGTGAAGGGCAACATTCCCAATGGGACACAGAAAAGAAATAGTGAAAAGGGTTATAATTCTTTCCAAAATTTAGATACTGGTTCTATTTTAAGCTTCCTTCTCAAGACTGTTTAGTCTATAGATATACAAAAGGCAAAGAAACACATTCTTACCAGACCCAGTCCGACCCCTATAGAAACCACCATACATAGTATCAGTAGTGTCTCGTCTGAAAGCCAGCTAGTTAACCGTCCAACCATAAATCCCTGGACAACCTACAAGAGGAAGAAGTTTGTCATTATGGGGAAAGCAGAAGGGTCAATTTTTTTTAATTTAAAGTTCTTCTTTAAATTGTGGTTCAGGTACAAACAAACAGTAACACTTATGGCCTTACAACAAAGACAACATCACATAAACTTTGATATTTACCAACTTGTAAAAATTTTTAACCCTACATAAGAAAGAAAGAAAGAAAGAAAGAGAGAAAGAAAGAAAGAGAGAAAGAAAGAAAGAAAGAAAGAAAGAAAGAAAGAAAGAAAGAAAGAAAGAAAGAAAGAAAGAAAGAAAGAAAGAAAGAAATCCAAATAATGCCCTCTGCAAAAAGGTCTAATATCTCATCGGCAGCCCACTAATCATCCAACACACCTGGAGTGCTCCCCGGCTGTGCTCTATGGTTCTGTCCACCACCCTAAGGTCACTACAGGACAGGTAGGGGCTGCTGCGTGAAACTACAGAGCACCGCCGGATGCAGTGGGGAATCTGGGAATAAGATGAATGCTAAAGCTGAACTCCAGGCAAATCAAAGACACCAATTAATGCAGCTCTGTATCCATTAATATATCAATTAACGATATATTTATTCAAGACAGGAGCCAAGGAACCGTCCAGCATGTCTTCGGAGTGTGGACTGAAACCCATGCATACAGAGGGAGAACATGCAAACTCCATGCAGATGGTGTCCCCCAGTGCTGTAATGATAACTACTAAGCCATAGTAACATATTACATCAGAGCGGTCTGATGAACCATATACAATGTATAGATATATACGAGGTCTGTCCAGAAAAGGTCCAGCCATTGTTAATATAACGAGAACGGTTTGCACGACATTGATGTAACTGGCTGGCAGCCAAGGAGAGTGGACTGGATTGCACATGTGCGAACAATGACAACATCACTTTACTAGTCAGTGGGGGCGCTAGACGGCGTTGAGTGAGCATGCGTACTGTGTGGTCGTCACATTCAAAATGACTGAGCAAGAAGAGTAAGGAATCTGCATCAAATTTTGCATTGAGCTTGAACATTCCTCCGCGGAAACGTTTCGGATGGTTCGGGGATATTTTCGGGATGATGCAATGAGTGCAGCACAATCAAAAGTGTGACACAAACATTTCAAAGATGGTCGAGAATCTGTTGAAAGTGATCCACGTTCTGGAAGGCCTGCAACCTGCAGAACACCTGTGAATGTTGAGCGTGTACGGGCTGCAGTCAACAAAGATCGGCGACTGACAGTGCGAGAACTAGAAGCTGATCTGGGGATTCCAAAAACTGCTGCGTCCGAGATTTTGACGCAGGATCTTGGCATGAAATGAATCTTGGCAGAATTCCACGGCTTCTGCTACCAGAGCAGAAGGAATATCGTGCTGCAGCTGCTAATGACTTGCTTCCAATAGCTACCAATGAACCAGATTTCATCAAGAAGGTCATAACTGGAGAGGAATGGTGGGTCTAGGCTATGATCTGGAAAAAGAAGGACCACTTGTCCCAATGGAAGTCGCCTGGTTCTCCACACCCGAAGAAGGCGCAGCAAGATCAAGACCATGCTAACTGTGTTCTTTTGATTGGGAAGGTGTTGTCCATCACAAGTGAGCTCCTCCAGGCCAAACAATTAATAAGGAGTACTACCTCAATGTTCTCTGTTGGTTGAGAGATGCTCTACAATGAAAGCGAAGGGGACTGAGGCGTCATTGTCCTATATACAATGTTTCTTGTATCTCCTTCAATACATGTCTCTATTTTTCATATTACATGGCTGGATAATTTGCGGACAGACCGTGTATAAAACGAATACTATCCTTCAACTATTATTGTTGAATCATTAGCTTGAGTCATTAGCTATCAACTGTCTTGCAAACTCAGAAGGTGTGATAGCCATAGAGATTAGGCAGTGGATAGACCACCAACACTTTTCACTGTCTTGCCACTCAGAAGCATGGTCACAGCCATAGAAATCAGGCAGTTGATAGACCACCAACACTTTTCACTGTCTTGCACACTCAGAAGCATGGCCACAGCCATAGAGATCAGGCAGTTGATAGAGCACCAACACTTTTCACTGTCTTGCACACTCAGAAGCATGGTCACAGCCATAGAAATCAGGCAGTTGATAGACCACCAACACTTTTCACTGTCTTGCACACTCAGAAGCATGGCCACAGCCATAGAGATCAGGCAGTTGATAGAGCACCAGCACTTTTCACTGTCTTGCACACTCAGAAGCATGGTCACAGCCATAGAAATCAGGCAGTTGATAGACCACCAGCACGTTTCACTGTCTTGCCACTCAGAAGCATGGTCAGAGTCATAGAAATCAGGCAGTTGATAGAGCACCAGCACTTTTCACTGTCTTGCACACTCAGAAGCATGGTCACAGCCATAGAAATCAGGCAGTTGATAGACCACCAGCACGTTTCACTGTCTTGCACACTCAGAAGCATGGCCACAGCCATAGAGATCAGGCAGTTGATAGAGCACCAGCACTTTTCACTTTCTTGCACACTCATGAGCTGGGTAACAACCATTGAGATCAGGCTGTTGACGGACCACCAGCACTATTAACTGCATTGCACACTCAGGAGTTGGGTAACAACCATAGAAATCAGGCTGTTGATGGACCACCAGCGCTTTTCACACTCAGAAGCTGGGTAACAACCATTGAGATCAGTCTGTTAATGGACCACCAGCACATTTTGGTGCAGCCTTATAGCAGGGGGCAGAGGGGAAATAAAAGAAGCTTATGGGCGAGTCAAACTATCAATATCTATCCAGAACTGAGTTGTGAGTTTTCAGTGGAGTAAGACTTTATTAAATGAAATAGCCCCGTCATAGTGAAAACCTATCTCGGGTCTTTTGCTGTATGAAGATGTAAGTAAATCCGGATTTACGATATCTGCTTTCCCGAGCAGAGGTGGGACCCGCAGCAGAATCCCATGCTGGGATGGCAGATATCAGGTTGCCCTATGCGGTGAAATGTTAGCCTTTTCTCACAGTCTCTGACTACAAATATGTGAGAACAAGACCGAGCAGTTCACTGCAAAGAGAACAATCCCAGACAATGGGAGCGGGGGAACCCCGCCTCGATGACATGTACAGACGCATAATAAAACTGCTCTATACAGAGGAGTTGCTGTGTGTGTAGAGCCACCCATGTGAGCCAACAATAGGCCGCTCCTGTGTCACACAGGCCCGGAAGGAAGCCCTGCGGCCGTACAAAGCAAGCGAGCTGAGCAAAGAGCACGCAAGTCAAGACCGCATTCCTGACCACATTTCTGCTTCCTATATTCCCTTGCCGGGTCACACGCCCTGGAGCTCACCTGGCGGACAGACCGCCTGGTCAATGGTCACCCCAGACAGGAGGAAACCTACATATATCCAATTCAATGGGATTGTAGGTATGAGGTGTAGAGAGCGGGATACAAATACACAGGAGATACTCCACCACTCATCCCTATCATCCCCACTGATCTCTCCTGCAGCACTTTACTGAGCAAGCTGAACTCTCTCACCGGTCCCTGTGACGGCTCAGAATAAAATGTCATGCCAGGGCTCACAGAACCCCCTGGGCCAGTCTGGGTGGAAGGAGAATGAACTTCAAGAATGTTATTCTGGATCGTGGGAAAAAAAATGGAGCAAAAACCCTGAAAGAAAGTAACAATACTTTGTGGAGAATGTCCGTGCTGGGAGCTGTACCCAGGACACCAATGAGGCAACTGAGACAGAAAGGATGGATAGAGGGAAGGAGGGAAGACAGAAGGATGAATAGAGGGAAGGAAGGATAGAGGAAAGGAGGGAAGGAAGGATAAAGGGGGAAAAATGGAAGGAAGGATGGAGGATTGAAGGGAAGGAAGAATGGAAGGAAAGAAGGATAGAGGAAAGAAGGGAAGGAAGGATAAAGAAAGGAGGATGGATGGAGGAATGGAGGGAAGGAAAAAGGTAAGGAAGGAGGAAAGGAGGGAAGAAAGGAAGGATAGAGGAAAGGAGGGAAGGAATGAATTAAGGATAGAGGAAAGGAGGGAATGAATAAATGAAGGCTAGAGGAAAGGAGGGGCGGAAGGATAGAGGAAAGGAGGGGCGGAAGGATAGAGAAAAGGAGGGGAGGAAGGATAATGGAAAGGAGGGAAGAAATAAAGGATAGAGGAAAGGAGGTAATGAATAAAAGAAGGATAGAGGAAAGGAGGGACGGGAGGATAGAGGAAAGGAGGGGCGGAAGGATAGAGGAAAGGAGGGGTGGAAGGATAGAGAAAAGGAAGGGAGGAAGGATAGAGGAAAGGAGGGGAGGAAGGATAGAGGAAAGGAGGGGAGGAAGGATAGAGGAAAGGAGGGGAGGAAGGATAGAGGAAAGGAAGGGAGGAAGGATAGAGGAAAGGAAGGGAGGAAGGATAGAGGAAAGGCGGTACATTATGTCACCAGGGTGAGCAAAGTGGACAAACAACCCCCCATCCCTACCCCCAACTCCTTGTAGAGGGGCTTCCCCACATTGCAAGGGTTATCTGCTTGTTTATGTCTAGGGAAATCAGATTTATTTACTTGTACCCCGCTCCCCTGGTGGTACACACTCTGGGTCGTGTTTTGACCCTCAACATCCTCATATCTAATGCGGGTCTATGGGCCCTGCATTGTATATGATGATATCAGTGGGCCTCTGACAGCTGGAGGAGAGGGAATAGAGACTGCTATTCAAGTCCATGGGTGGCATCAAGTTATCAGCCCTGGGAGAACAACCCCACATTTTCCTCATCTCCATAACATATTGGAGAGGTGTTCTATAGTCCTAACACTGTCTGATAACACAGCATAAGACAGCACTTCAGAGTTCCCAGGACACTGGACACTGCTAAATTTCTGGCAGGACCAACAGGTCATTTTTTGCACGTATTGAACAGGTTTTTAACAGTCCAAAAGGTACCAAATAAGAGAAGCTCAATGTTGGGGTTTACATGCACTTTAAAGTTCACAGAGATTACATTTTTTTCTCTTTCTTTTTTTTTTAACTGTACTTTGTAGTCTTTGAAGACACGACCAAAGGAAAATATCATCTCCTCAGGAATGCGTTCTGTCAATTGTAAACAAAAGAGGAAGGAAATGAGCTTCAAGTGAAATAACAACCACCCATAACTCTGTGTACATGCCAGAGGGGCAAATGTGCTCACAACACAGCCTCTCCTTTCACAGCGGCCATAAAGGATTCTGCACCAAAGAGGCCCCCCCCCCCAGTAACAGGACCCTCTGTGTGCCGGGGGGTCAGAATAAAGACATATGGTCTCTATATACTGTATATACATGGGGGATCATAACCAGAACTGAGTCTACTCATTAGCAAAAAGTCAATTCGACTATAAAAAGAAATAGACACAAACCTAACTGCAAAAGATACGCTATACATCACCGACGTGTTCCTATTACAGGACCATAAAATGTTACAAATGTATCATGGTCAGGTGACTAAGATAGGATGTAAAATGTTTTTATATTCTACAGCTGAAGTTAATTATTATATTATTTTTGTATTATTATTATTGTTATATTATTAATATTATTATTGTTGTTGTTATTATTATTATTATTGTTAATATTATTATTGTTGTTGTTAATAATATTATTGTTAATATTATTATATTCTCCAATGACCTGAGACACCCACAATGCTCCTGTTAGCCAGAGACCATGTGATCTTTGCCTAGGTTTTAGGCTTGGAGCTCATGTGTCGCAGGTTTTTTGTATTAATAGCAAGAAAGGGGTATATTTTCAACCACAATCATCAGTGTGGTTTGATAACGCCGCCATGAACCTAGTTTGATATATACAGGGTTATTCACAGAAGGGTGAAGAGTTTGGAGAAGACAGGAAAAGTGAACAATCTAGAACAGTGGTTCTCAACCTTTCTAGGGCCGGGAACCCTTGGTAACATTTGCCAAGTTGTGTTGACCCCCTACCGTAAAATTTAGGAATTCCCCAATACTTGTATCTGTGTGGGCTCTCAGGAGGCTATGCGGGCTCTCAGGTGGCTAGTGGGACTCTCTGATGGCATCCAGTGCGGCCCCTTTGGTGCCCAGTGTGGGCTCTCTGGTGCCTAGTGCGGGCTCTGTGGTGATCAAGCACTCACCTCCCCTCTCTCCTGCCTGCTCCCCTCTCTCTGATCCTCTCCGGCTGCTGCTGCTGCAGCGGGATTAAGAGAACTGACACTGCTGCGCTATGAGGAGGCTGAGGAGCCTCTTACCTACAGCAGCACAAGGCATGTAGGGACCCCCTCAACTGTGGGTTGCGACCCACTTTTGGGTCACGACCCACAGGTTGAGAACCACTGATCTAGAACAACATAGCTGAACTGGAAAGTGAGCTGAATTGGAGAATGTTTTCAAATCAGCTATTTTGGCCTAGAGGGTTCACTTCTCCCTTCTCCAAACTCTTCACCCTTCTGTGAATAACTCTGATGATGTTTGAGTTTTAATGTACCCCAGATAGCAAGCAATTGAGCTGCAAGTTTGAAAATGACTTGCTAAACTATTGCAGACTTGCCGAGCTTCACAATTTTGTTGCACAATTACAGCAAGTCTGCATTGTGTGTCTCCAGATCAACGTGCTTTGTAGAAGTGCTGTACACACGCAGAGCTCTTGCTAGGACCTGCAGGACTCTTGCTGTAGACCTGCCAAGCAAATTTGCTACAAATTCAAAAAGTGTCGCCTAGAACTTGTGTTGCGAGTGTTCTGCAAGTCTACAACTTGCTGGGAATGTGTGCACCAAGTTAGAAAGAATTACATTTTAAAGGAGAACTATGGGGTCAGCGTTTTTCCCCATAGTTCTCCTTGGGGTAACGGGATGACACAAACTAGCGTTTTCCCGTTACCCTAAGCTCAGTATACCGCGAGCTACAGCTCGCGGTATACTGAGACGCCGCACCTGGAGCGGATCCCGACGTAGCTGACGGGATCCGCCCAGCTGCGTGAGTGACAGCTGGCTCTGCCTATCTAGAGGCAGAGCCAGCTGTACCCGCCCCCTCCCCCGTCCGTTCCGCCAGTCAGCGTTGGCAGATCGGAGCGGGGAGAGGGGAATCCAGCCCCTCCCCCTGTCACGGCAGAGAGCCGTGACAGGATCAAGGTGAGGGAACCCGGTATGTGTTCCCTCACCTCCCGATCTACTGAGCCGACCTGTGACAGTCTCATTGTCACAGGTCGGCTTAGAACTATGAGGTGAGTGAAAAGCACTCGCCTCATAGTTCTCCTTTAACCCTCCTACAAGTTTGTGGCAAGTTATCCTTGCTATCTGGGTGTCTGGTCCACTTTACCCTGCGAAGGTATTTGCAATCGATATTATTATCAGAACGCGGGAAACGGCATTGCGTTTTCTATATCGCTACGCCCGGAGACGCTCCGGAAGCCGAGGCATGTTTATGGTCTCCGTGTGTTATAAAGATAATGGCCCGCTCTGATCTTCTATTTACAATTAAAACTCCATTTGAAAGGTTATCGGCGGCCCATCTGTTTGCGTTGTGTAGGAAAATATGGCGTGTGTACACTTCCGCTATTTGCAGGCTCCTGTGTTGTATGTCCAAACACGGGGCGGTTTAAAGTAAACACGGCTTTTTACAATTTTCCCCATGTATTATTCCTGCGGTAATGACACAAACAAAAGAGGAGAGATCACACAGATAAAAATAGCCCTTCATGAGGTGACTCAGGCATAAAGAAAATGTTAGCCTGTGCAGGGACACAGGCTGCCGGGATCCACAAGCCGGGTTATAGAAGTTTCCTGTAAATAAAAATGTTCACACTCTTTTCAATTCGTCTTGTAGTTGCCACATCTGGGAACTTGCCGGCATTTGCCCGGAGAAGCCCCCTTTTTTGCTTAGGTTACCAGCTCCCCTTACTTCCTGTTTTCCTTGTCATGTGACATATCACATGACCAGAGATGGGAAGACGGAGAAGCTGCCTTATCTGAGAATTTGCCGGCTTTTGCAAAGGAGAAGCCCGCTTTTTTGCTTAGGTTACCAGCTCCCCTTTTTTTTCGGCTTTCCTTCTCATGTGACATATCAGATAACCAGAGATGGGAAGACGGAGAAGCTGCCTTCTTCCTGTTAGACATCTTTTCAGTACATGTCGTAGTTGCCATATCTGGGAACTTGCCGACTTTTGCCCGGAGAAGCTGGATATTTTGCTTAGGTTACAGCTCCCCTTACTTCCTGCTTTCCTTGTCATGTGACATATCACATGACCAGAGATGGGAAGAAGGAGAAGCTGCCTTTTTTGCTTAGGTTACCAGCTCCCCTTGCTTCCTGTTTTCCTTGTCATGTGACATATCACATGACCAGAGATGGGAAGACGGAGAAGCTGCCTTCTTCCTGTTAGACATCTTTTCAGTACATGTCGTAGTTGCCATATCTGGGAACTTGCCGACTTTTGCCCGGAGAAGCTGGATATTTTGCTTAGGTTACAGCTCCCCTTACTTCCTGCTTTCCTTGTCATGTGACATATCACATGACCAGAGATGGGGAGAAGGAGAAGCTGTCTTATTCCCATTGGACATCTTTTCAATTCGTCATGTAGTTGCCACATCTGGGAACTTGCCGGCTTTTGCCCGGAGAAGCCGTCTTTTTTGCTTAAGTTACCAGCTCCCCTTACTTTAGGGTTGCCACCTTTTCTTCAAGCCAAAAGCGAACACTGTAGCACCTCGCGGCAATTTTTTTGTAAAGTATACACGACGCATATATTTGGAGTTAATCACAACTTGCCAGTGTGCCACAGGTCCCCAGATATATACTATATAAAGCAATATCCATATACTTTGCCGCACTCATTACCCGATATCCCAAAAGTAACGGGTGCTCGTAATGACTGCGGATGGCGCCGCTCACAACAGAACTCCAATACAGATGTCACCAGCACCACGATTCCATGTTAGTGTAAATTAGGGATGCACCGATACAAGAGGTGCACCGAAATGAAGATTTCAAAAACGAAACCGAAATAAAAAAAAATGTCAGACCGAAACCGAAGATGTTTTTTATTTGACCTTTTTCACATTTTTTTCAAATATTTTTTTTTTATAAACTTTTATATTTTTTTATATTTATTTTTATTTATTCATTCATTTTTTATTAAATATTTTTCTTCTTTACTTTACTTTTAGGGGCTTCGGGGAAATATTGGGGATCTAAACAGAACCCTGATATTTGCCTTTTAAAATTGAGAACAGAAAGTCCTCAGAGAACACAGAGTCCTCAATCTCTTTTTCTGTATCCCCTGTTATCAATGAACAGGAATCCTCTATACTGAGTGTTCCTGTTCATTCATAACATGAGGACAGCGTATGGTTACTATATCCACAATCATGAATGGACAGGAAGTGATGTAGGAGGTGATATAGATCACTTCCCATTCATTCAT